ATATGCCTAGGGACATCACCATTTGCAAGTACCCCTTTAAGCCACACCGCATTCTGGCTTAGAACTATATCCTTGTTTCTTCCTTGTCACTAGAACCTTGTCACCTTCACTACCTCCTCAAGTTCAGTTAATGATGGGTAACAAATGATAGCCTTTCTAGTGATCCAGATCCCATGGATGAATAAAAAGAATGCATTAAGCTCAATTAAGGGAAAATGTTTTGTGCATTTACATTAAGTGAACATTTGTGCGCTCTAGCATATGCTTCTAAAGTTCCATCAGGGAGTAATTAGAATAATCCATGTTAAAGCAAGGATCCAATGTTAATGTCATTTTGGCTTATTAAGCACCAATTAACACCATCACACAAATTTGCTGATGCTTACCTTACTGCACACATTGTATTGGAATGCCCGCTGTAAAATGGTGTTAAGGCGATGGAAGGAGTTGGTAGAGTTCTAATATGCAACAGGGCAGTTGATATTGGAAAGAGCAATTCAGTTGCTTCATTTATGCACGGAATGTCAGATACTTCTTAATATCTTACTTAGTTAAACATTGCAATGAGTTGACAGTGGGCAATATATTTCAAGCCAGTTTCACCAGAGATCCTCAGACAGCATCTTCGAAACCCACAACCACTTCCACCTAGAAATGCAAGGGCAGCAGATGCATGGGAACATCACCACCTTCAAGTTCCCCTCCAAGCCACTCCCATCCTGACTTGCAAATATATTACCATTCCTTCACTGTCGCTGGTCAAAATCTGTAATTTACAGCAGTTCAAGAAGGTAGCTCAAGGACAACCAGGGATAGGCAATAAATGCTGGCCCAGCTAGTGATGCCCACATTCCACAAAATGGAAAAGCAGGGCACACAGACTCAGAGTTCATAGGCAGAGAGATCAAAAGATCATACAACTGGTGTGAGTGGGGTGTCAGATAAAAAGTCTCTGCCAGTGACCAAGGGTGTTAGACGGTGTGGAAAGTGTTTATAAAGTCAATGTCAGTGCTGTGCTGTAATGACAATCAGGCAGAGCCATAGAAATATACAAAATACGACATCTCAGGGCAGCCACTGAATTGTGGTGTGAGGCTTTATTCAGAATCTGTCTCAAAATTTTAACCTGGAATCAGGCTGGTTTTATTCTGAAAGCTGGAATTTATAAGATGCTACATTAACTGACTGTGACTACACATTGTGTGTTGTTTGAACAAAATAGAATGTATCTGCAAATAAACAAACATCTTGTGTGTGTTTGAGAGAGAGGGAGATCAAGGCCTTTGATCCAGACCTTCAGAGTACCCTACGCACTCATTCTGTATACTTCTCACGTAGGCGACTTCTACTGCCTTCCGAAGATACACAAAGCCAACACACCTGGACATCCCATTGCATCAGGTAACAGGACCCTGTGTGAGAACCTCTCTGGCTATGTTGAGGGCATCTTGAAACCCATTGTACAAAGAACCTCCAGCTTCTGTCACAACACTACAGATTTCCTACAGAAACTCAGCACCCACGGACCAGTCGATCCAGGAACATTCCTCGTCACAATGGATGTTTCGGCACTCTACACCAACATCCCCCATGATGACAGCATCACTGCAACAGCCTCAGTACTCAATACCAACAACTGCCAATTTCCAGATGCCATCCTACAACTCATCTGCTTCATCATCGACCACAACGTCTTTACCTTCAACAACCAGTTCTTCATCCAGACACATGGAACACCCATGGGAACCAAATTTGCATCCCAATATGCCAACATTTTCGTGCACAGGTTCAAGCAAGACTTCTTTGCTGCACAGGACTTCTGACCAATGCTATACACCAGATACATTGACAATATCTTCTTCCTTTGTTCTCATGGCGAGGAATCACTGAAACGACTACATAGCGATATCACCAAGTGTTCATCCCACCATCAGATTTACCATAGTCTACTCTTCAGAATCAGTCTCATCAAGGATGGACACCTCAGTACCTTACTCCACCACAAGCCCACAGATAACCTCACGATGCTGCACTTCTCTAGCTTCCACCCTAAACATATTAAAGAAGCCATCACCTATGGACAAGCCCTGCACATACACAGGATCTGCTCAGATGAGAAGGAACACCATGGACACCTGAAGGTTTTGAAAGACACCCTCTTAAGAACGGGAAACAATGCTCAACTCATCGATTGCCAGTTCCGACGTGCCACAGTGAGAAATTACAGTGACTTCCTCAGCAGACAGACACGGAAGACCAATAGAATGCTTTTTGTCATCCAGTACATCTCCGGAATGGAGAAACTACACCATGTTCTTCGCAACCTTCAACATGTCATTGATGACGATAAGCATCTTGCCAAGATCTTCCCTATGCCTCCACTTCTCGCCTTCAAACAACCGCCAAACCTTAAACAGACTACTGTTCGCAGCAAACTACCCAACCTTCAGGACAACATCAACCACAACACCACACAATCCTGCCATGGCAACCTCTACAAGACATGTCAGATCATCGACATGGACACTACCATCACACATGGGAACACCACCCGCCACATACATGCAGTCACTCATGTGACTCGGCCAACATTGTCTATCTCTTACACTACAGGCAAGGATGCCCCGAGGCATGGTATGGTGATGAACATTAAATCATGCAGATGCTATGACAACAGATGCATGGACACTGCGCAATAATCACCAATCAGGAATGTTCCCTCCCTGTCAGGGAACACGTCAGCAGTAAAGGACATTCAGTCTCCCATATTCGGGTAAGTGTCCTCTAAGCAGACTCCAAGATACACAACAACGCAGAATTGCCAAGCAGGACTGACAGCCAAGTTCATACCCATGACGATGGCCTCAACCGTGATCTTGGGTTCATGTTGCGCTACAGGTGACCCCATCACACTGTTCTGTATCTGTAATATCTTCCTTACTTTCCTCCCTTGATAGCATCATCTTGATGAATTGTTATGATCTCTCTACCTTTATTAGTTTGTACAGTTTTGAATTACTTATCTCTCTCTCTCTCACACACACACACACACACACACACACACACACACACACAGAAATCTATGGAGTGAATCATTTCATCCTTTCTATTGTATTCAAAAACCACACAATGTGTAGTCACAGTCAGTCAGTGTGGCATCTTATAAATTCCATCTTTCGGAATAAAACCAGCCTGATTCCAGATTTCAACTCTGAGACAGATACTGAACAAAGTCTCACACCTACAATTCAGCATCTGCCCTGAGATGTCACCTTTTGTATATTCCTATGGCTCTGCCTGATAGTCATTACAGCACAGCACTGACACTGACTTTATAAACACTTTCCACACCGTCTAACACCCTTGGTCACCTGCAGAGACTTATTATCTGACACCCCACTCACACCAGCTGTATGATCTTTTGATCTCTCTGCCCTTGATCTCTCTGTCTATAAACTCTTGAGTCTGTGTGCCCTGCTCTCCCACTCGACCTAACAAAGGGACTGTGCTCCAAAAGCTTGTGTGATTCCAAATAAACCTGTTGGACTATAACCTGGTGTCATGTCACTTCTGACTTTGTCCAGCCCAGTCCAACACCGGCATCTCCACATCACAGAGTGGAAAAGGTCATTGACTTTTTCCTACAGTGTTGTGCGTTCCTCTAGATGACTGAGACTGCTCTAACCCATATGGCAACCTCAGACGATACTCGCACTATGCGGTGTTGTGGCCTCAACTGCTGGGCCTAAGGGAAGAGGAAGTCCTGGCTGTGCAGTAGGACCTTGCGGTCCCTGTCCACAAAGTGTTCCTTCTGCCATGTCTGGGGCAAAAGTCATGGCAGCGTAGACTGATAATGCTTGTCCAGATGCACAATAGGCTTTTAAAGATGATGTGGGTGTAAGCGGATGCTGGTTAATTCCAGAATATCCTAGCAGCATTGAGTTGTTCTGAGAGCAGCATGTGGTAAGATACAACTGGAATCAGATTCAGGGACACATTAGCAGTAGGGTAGGTGATTAATGATATAAGTTTGGTAAGAAACGATAATAGAACCCACTAGGCCTCATGCTAAAAGCCCCTCAAAAGAGCTCAATGCAATGTGCACTCGGCCAAAATGAAATAAGATTTAGCCCAATTTTTTTTTACAATATCCACGTTTGGTGATACAACCTCCAGTAGGCTGGTGCACTTACCTTTTCTATTCTGATTGAATCACTATTTATTCCCTGCCTTGTATTTCTGAAATGATTGAGAGGAGGAGGTGGATGTGATATTAACTCCATTAGGCAACTCCCTCCACCATGACATCGTTATTAAAGGGGCTGATCACTTCTCTCAGGCTCCCCAATAAACTTTATTACTCTGTCTGTGTGTTTGAAAGGCCAGAGACATTTCTTTCTGCAGGTTTTTGTCAGTCGTGATTTTTCAGCTCTCTTCCAATATTCCAACTGCACACACTAGTCCTTAAGCTACTACAGGACTACAATTTATGTAACAACTGATCAATAACCACCTCTGTGAACAAATGTGTAAATTCCTGGTGAGAACCAAGCCCAGCAGCATTTGTGTAAATAGCTGGCACTCAAAAGCCTATATTTTTTAATGCCATGCCGAAACAATGATGGAGACAAGGTGGTTGACATTGTTTTATAAGTGGTGCAACATACTTGAGGATTGAAAAACATCGTTCTGACTCGAGTTAAATTTGAGGCCCATATTTGTAACCCACTAGCTTTCCAGATAGCAACATTGATGGATGGAATGAATCTATCTGAAATATTTTGCTGTTGATGTCATTAGAACCAAAGTTTCTTTAACTATTTTAAAGTAATTCAGATGTCTGCTAATTGCTGTCACATTCAATTATTGCTCCTACCTTACAAACTGTTAAGAGGTCATGGTTCTTTCACTTGTTGGATAAGGTGGGAAAACATTTATTTTACAAGTAGCAAATACAGCCGTTTAGCTTCAATCGCTTATCTAGTTTCAATGCACACCATATTACTTATGCCCTACATACAGCCACTGTGGACTAATTTATACTAAAGTGGAAAACATCAAGGCGGGTGTAAGTAATCTTGCTGCCTGCAAAGTCATATTTGTGGCAGGAGTACAGCAACCTGCAAGTGGAACTGGTCAGTGCAGGGTCAAACATTCCACACCTATAAAAACAATTGACAAGTGCAATGTTACACAATAGAATCAATGTTAACTCTCCTCCACTCTTCAAATCCAATAGATTTTCTCTCCTCAGTCACAACCATACTCTTTATAACTTCTGCAATTTGCTACTTTCCATGTCATATTTTATTTTCTCGTATTCAAAATATCCATAAAATTTCTGTTTCCTCTTTTCCCATTTATGAAAATGCCTTTTAAATTTAGCTTCTGTTTTGCACAATTAATGTTTTTTTTTGCTTTAAAATTTCCAGTTTGACGTTAACTATTTTATATTATCTTCCCTACATGCCAGAGGATTATCCGTGCAAATAGCAAACACTGTAGACTGCAACTTCTGCCAGAAAAAGCGAGAATGTTGAGACGTGGAATACTGTGTCCAGTTCAGGTCGCCCAGTTATAGGAAGAATATTATCAAGCTGGAGGGGGTTCAGGAGAGATTTACCAGGAAGTTGCTGGGTTTGACTTATGATGAAAGGCTGGATAGACTGGGGCTTTTTTCATTGGAGCATAGGAAGTTAAGAGGTGACCTGGTATAAGTTTATAAAATAATGAGAGGTATAGATTGAGTTGATGGTAGTTGTCTTTTCCCTAAGATGGGGAATTTCAAGACGAGGGGGTACACTTTTAAGGCGAGAGGAGAGAGATTTTAAAAAGACACAATAGGAAGCAATTTTTTACACAGAAGATGGTTTGCGTGTGAAATGAACTTCCTGATGAAGTGGTGGATTGTGGTACATTTACAACGTTTAAAAGACATTTGGATGGATAAATGAATAGGAACGGTTTGCTGCGATATGGGCCAGGAACAGGCAGGTGGGACTAGTTCAGTTTGGGATTATGTTCGGCATTAACTGGTTGGACAAAAGGGTCTGTTTCCGCATTGTATGACTCTATGTCTACCACTGATGCACTTTATGATCCTGATCAACTCATGACTTGTGCCCATGCCTAGTAATTGCTTGTGAAGTTTAAACTTCAAATGGGCTGATTGTGCTGTCCTAAACCTTCCATAAATGTCTCTTACACTGAGCCCAGTGTTGGAGACTAACACTTTATAGTCACCCAAATCATTACACTAGAATCATTACACTGCTTAATCTACACAGTGAGTAATGTCGCAACCAAATCCACCAAACCCACCACATAGCACCTCAGCTTATCCCAATCCACAGGCTTGACCTGAAACCCATTCTGCAATCAGCCATTCCCACAGTCCAATGAATCTCCTAACACGACTACTCACCATAACCCCAGCCTGCCTTGCCAACTCCCTGAAAAATATACCCCCCTCAAATGTCTTACCAATCCCCCAATTGGACAAACCACTCACATCTCAACAGCTTTTTTATACAGAGGGTGGTAGGCATATGGAATGAGCTGCCAGCAGAAGTGGTTGAGGCAGGTATATTAACAACATTTAAAAGGCATTTGGACAAATGCCTTTAGGGGTGGCACGGTGGCTAAGTGGTTAGCACTCTGCCTCACAGCGCCAGGGACCCAGGTTCGATTCCACCCTCAGGCAACTGTCGGTGTGGAGTTTGCACATTCTCCCTGTGTCTGCGTGGGTTTCCTCCGGATGCTCCGGTTTCCTCCCACAGTCCAAGGATGTGCAGATTAGGTGGATTGTCCATGCTAAATTGTCCATAGTGTTCAGGGATGTTAGATTAGGTAGGTTATGGTGGGTTGGGTCTGGGTGGGATGGTGTAAGGGTCGGTGTGGACTTATTGGGCCTGTTTCCACACTGCAGGGATTCTATTCTATGAAATGCATGGATAGGAAAGTTTTAGAAGGATATGGGCCAAGTGCAGGTAAGTGGTGTTAGCGTGGATGGACATTATGGTCGGCATTGACAAGTTTGGGCAGAAGGGCCTGTCTCCGTGCTGTAGAACTCTGTGACTCTATGACTCTAACCCACTTAATAACTCACCCACCTAGTAATGCATTCATCACCTGATCATCCACCCACTTAACTATCACTCCCTGACCAATCCACTCACTCATCCATCACTCTCTTTCACTCACTTGTCCATCCAGTCACCCACATACCCAACCACTGTCTCTCCTGGCTAACCACTCACTCAATTACCCACTGTTACTCACCTACCCCCTCACTAACTCCACTCAAATCCTTAGGCCCTAGAAAAGCTTACCTCAACAAAGCAGCTGATGAAGCATGTCCCCTCCATTGCTCCTCTTCACCAATGCCCCTCCTGTGCAGCTACACAGAAGCATCTGATGCAGTCAAAACTTGAAGACCCACATCTGCAAGTGTGCAAAAAGGTACGCCAGCAATTACATTCACAGTCACTGGGGATATTCTCAACTTTACTGCCGATGGGAAAATCTGGATGATTTACTTCTAGTGCAGGGAAGACGTTATCAAATAGGATGGCTGCTTTCATACAACACAAAGGGCAGGCCTTCTCCATGTTTCAGTCTTCCTTCATTCAGTGTGAGCCTTCAGATTGGAATTCTGACTTCTTACCCTTCCATCTCAACTACACTGTTTTCCACTTGTGCCAGGAAATTGCAACATTTTGCCTGAATTTTCTTGTCAGAGATTTTATGAAAATAAGGGGTCATGAGCTGAATTTTACCAAAAATCAGCAAACTATCAATTTCAAGGAGTTTCACAGAGGGCTTCTCTCTGAGAGACTCAGCGAGTTTTCTCAGGCAATTTTACTCTGCTCACCTCATTATGTATGCACCATGCCTCTTTGGCACCTTGCTGGTACTATTGAATACTCACCAGCAGGAGAACCACTCTCCATTGCCATATCCCTCCAACATTCATGCTGCCAGCACTATATTTAAAGCCCATGCTCTGCATCAGGTTTGCTGCCAGCCGTGAATAGGCCTTCACAGTTAATGTAGTGAGAGGGAAATGTAAAAGATTCTGATGGTACATAGATGGCACAGATGACAATTCATTGCAAATGGAATCCCAGATTCATAAATGTATTCCAATTTTATGTTACCTATCCGATCAACTCTCATTGTAATGTCAGTTACAAGAACTAAGCTACACAGGCTACCCAACCATAGTGCCTTCAAAACAGCAAAACCAAAATAAAACCCAAAAAGAGCTACATTTGCTCTGGAACAAAGTGCTGCTTGCTATTTGTGCAGCAACAAATTTGTAATCAATGTAAGATTACTTCACCCAATTTACATCAGTTGGAATCTGGTTTCAACTAACTCCTGTCTGGTTTGTTGCACCAGATGCTGCACTGCTGTATTCTTATACAGGTAATGTTTCTCATGTCTAATGTCCTCATCTTCCTCCCTAGCAGACTGCTGTCACTTTCACAGAATGTGTCCAACACATTCTGTCTTTACTTGTTCCAATATTGCAGTGCACAGCATGCTAGTCTTATGCATCATAGCCTGTCTGGACATTTACTGCAATGTCCCTAGACCAATCCAGGTATTGGAGCCAGCCCTATGATTAGCTCTACCATGGCCCTTGTTGAAAAATGAGCAGCATTGTATCTGCACGTGATTTATGGTAAAACTCAACCCATTGTCCACTATAACTATGTTTGATATTTTATGAAGTAGTATTCATTATTGTAGTGTAATTTAGAATTGGTTCAATACATTTCATCAATCAATTTCATTAACAGTTATAGAAGAGTTGTAGTCTCATACTTTTAAATCCTCATGATCCCAAATCCAGATAACAGTATGCTACAATTCTTAATGTAGAATTCTTAGTTCTCATATCGGTAAACTTTAAAAAAAGGTTGTTTCTGCATAATAGCCTAGTAGATATGTTCTATCCTAAGATAATTTTCTTGGCTTGAAAAATCCTTGAGGGCAACCCAGATATTTCATTGCAGGATACAGTCTATAACGGATAAAAAAAAACTAAGCTCCTTTAATTGTCTGAAATATTTCTTGATTGTGATTTTAAGCTGACAATAGGTTTGACAGGGTAGGTTTACTCTGCTGGAAGTGGGTGTGTAAAGGTGATAAAGGTAAACCTGTTAACAAAGTAACCAAATAACTCAGACTGTGTGTGTAAGGCTGATATGTCATACCTGCAGATATCTGACTGGATACAAACCCAACTCTTTGTGGCATATGTTATGTGGGATAACATACAGAAAAACCACAAAGCATATCACCTGACTATAGCATCCCATCCCTGAAAGTGACATGTCCTGTGACCCTATTCCCATCACATACTCGTAACCACACAATAGTAAGGAGGTTGATCAGCCAAAAAAATCTGCTTAAGGAATTATGCAGAGTTTACAAAGTTAATGTTGTACAATAAGGCTCAAGTTTACACTTAAGAATAAATTTAATTATTTTAGGTGTCTTTAAAGTAAGACAAAATGTTCTATGTTTGTTTGTATCCATTTACCATTCTGATTGCAAATATATTATCCTGTTTCTAAACTCCTGGTACTTCCTCAATGCCCATTGACTCCCACAATTGTCCCACAACATCAGTGTCAAAGGAATCTCCCCTAAGTTTCTTTTAGCATTCTGGCAGAAAATAGCATCGGTCTCTTGGGATTCAATTTCTTTTGAGCTATTTTAGTTCAGCTGAAACTTCCATTTCAGTTATATTGAAATCATTAATTCTTCTAAAGTTATCTCTGAGTTCAGTATTGTTACTTATGTCTTTCCTTGTGACTGCTTTTACGAAGTAATCATTCAGGCATTTTCTATATTGATTTCGTCCACAGGTTTGAGCCCATCAATGTCCTTGCATCTTCTCTCAATATTTTTTACTGTTGCAAAAATAAACAGAAAATGTCCCTAAAAATTCACACTGTGCTGCATGTCAAATACAGCAATACGACCAATCAAGTGGCCCTTAAATGCCATAATTCACTGAGTCAGTGTATTTAAATGTCTGCTGACGTTGGCTGAACTTCAGTGTAACAGTAGTATCGGTGGTTATGGAAATGTTACCTCGACGCTGTTAAAAGGTCTAACATGCTGAAGGTTTTATACAGCAAGTTAATAAATAAATGTTTTCTCAGGCTGTATTCATAATCAGGTCTCTGTCATAGAATGCCCACAGAAATTGCATGATATTTTCAAGCATGTCTTCAGCTGGAGAACTGCTGGAGGCAACCAAAGATGGAAGTTGGGTGTCAGACAGAAAAAATGTTCTCATAAAATCTCCAAGCCAACTTACTTGGTATTTCTGTTTAAGTATTGGTATATTGACGTTATCTGTTGAGTATCCCAAAGAGTGTAATTACATGTTTCAATCCAACACTCGATTGCTAAGTACAATAGATTGTTGTTATTTGCGTAGCATCACAGAGATGCTATTTACTTTTATATCTTTATAAATCTTTTGTTTCTTACCTTAGAGTAGAATATTTTATTTAATTCTGAAAAGAAGTCTGCAATAGTTTGAATTATGAGAAATCATTTTCCACATAAACAAGGCATTAATAGAACATAGAACAGTACAGCACAGTACAGGCCCTTCGGCCCACGATGTTGTGCTGGCCTATTATCCTACTGAGACCAAACTACCCTGCATACCCTTCATTATACAATCATCCATGGGCCTATCCAAGAGTCGCTTTAATGTCTCAATGCCCAGCTATTCTTTCCATTTTTGTACTTGAGTCAAATCTGTGAACACAGCAGTAATTAATCACTCCCTTACTCTCTAATTGTTGATGAATTGGTAGGGATTGAATTCTACTTTTTTTTTAAAATGCTGGACTGCATAGTAGTGCAGTAAGATGGAACTTTCACATAGTGTACTGTACCTGATTGCCTGTATTCTCCATGATAGAGTTCATGCTGGTAATTCTCCACACTGATGAGGCAATTTTGACTGTCTTTGCTTGGGTAGTGAACTGGTAGGTGCCATTGCTTGCCGGTTTTGGAATTCACCCAATATTTTGTTTCCCTTGAAAGCACAAGATCCAGGAAGAAAATTGTTTGTTCACTAAAAATGATCTGTTGGTCTGTTTTGTTTTGACAGGATAGTTTATTTTATGCAGGTTGAACTCTTGCACAATTTAATTTTTGGTAGTGTAACTTCTGTGCTGGTTTTGGTGAGGAATATTAATGATGGGGAGAGAGAAAGGATAAATATCCATTTTTGAAATTAAGTTCATCCGAAGTTTTGTGTATTTATATACTGCTCATCCTGAATTTTGTAATATTCAGCATTATCTGAAATCCCACACAGAAATATTTGTATCTGTTCATTAATAGATTAATTCTGATTTTTGTAGTGTTATATCATTATCTAGCTTAAATTCAGAAGAAGGCTTATATACTTTTCTGTGACAATAGGTTGTTAACAGACATTGCTACATCAAAAGGTAACTGGAAATCCTTTGTTTAGGGATAAATAGAAGCCTGAATTGACACAAGTCATTTCACCACAGTGCTATCATATATAGATTATATGTTTGTGAGAGAAGATTTCTCCGAAAGTATAAGCCTGTTTATAAAGAGTGAATTTGTGATTTTGCTTGTTCATTGTTTACACTTCAGGCAAAGAGAAAATCCATACGCAACTATTTGCATTATTACAGCTGGTATTTCCAAATACGATAAATGCTTGCCAATTTTAAATGTCTACTCTAACTTCTAAATTCTAACATCACATGGTACTGCTGACAGCGTATCACAAAGACTCCTTGTAGAAGTACGACTATACAGTTTTTGATGAAGTACAATGTAAAACAAATTGATCTTGCAAAGGTTTTGTCCCAGCTTCTTTAAGTTGTTCTTTTGCATGAGCCTACCTGCAACAGATGCAATAAAAGGCAGAGTTGCCATAATCTTACCAGACCACAGGGCTTGTCCTTCATTATAGAGAGGTGGTGGTTTAACCTGAGGTTTGCTACAGCTCAGGTACGGGGAGCTTTTCATGGCAGTCTCGGCTGGTGCAGAAATTGTATCCATACTGTTGGCACCACTCTACATTGCAAACCAACCAGTCAGCCAACTGAGCTAAACCAACCCCAACAGATGCATTACAGAAATGTAGTTGTGGGTAAAACTAATTATATAGATAGGTGTGTTTATCTATGTGGGCATATGTTTTACCTGTGCAAATTAAATGCTGATGCAGGGTTTGGTTTGAGATTATAACCATTCAGCTGACTGATAGGTGCCAGGACTGCCTTTCCAAATCATGGATCACACCAGTTTTGCACAAGCCAAATTTAATTCATTTTGGAGCAGACATTTCCAGAAAGATAGGCAAACGAATCCATCATCATTTGAAAGATAAGTCTGCAATTTAATATCTTCTTTCAATT